CCTGGCCCAATGGGGCGCGGGCTGGGCATTTCGAACGCACAGCTGTGCGGGGCGTTTGGCGGCGCCATGTCCGGCAGCTTCCGCGAGCGCTGCGTGTCCGTGCTGCGCTGCCGCTTCTGCCGCCACGTGCTCAGCTCGCGCGGCATGCGCGCCGTGCTGCTGGCCGACGCCGACGTGCAGCTCTTCTCCACCGACATCCCGCCCGCAGGGTGAGTGCCCCGGGCCCCCCGCCCGCGCAGGACAGCGCCTCGGGCATTTAAAAGCGCCCCCCAGACCCACCATGTGCTGCCCCCACCCCGCCTCACCCAGCAGGTGGGGGTGTAGGGGAGCACAGATGGAGAAAAAAATGATTTGGGGGCATGCCCCTCCTAGCAGGGGAGCCCCTCCTCCATACCCTGGAAAATGAAGAGCTGGCTCTTTTTGGCAGGGAAGGGGGGGGATTTGAATCTAAAAAGAGTGAAAACAGCAGTGTTTCTCAACCTTTTAAGTAGCAAGTAACTTCTGAAAACTGTAATAACTCCCCCAACCTTCAATTTTCCAGGGGGGGTTTATATTTATGCGTGCCGTATGTTGGGAGGAGGGCTGTGTATATAAGGCCGTGATAGGACAGATGTCTGATCTGGTGTGGGCAGGGTTGTCACCTTTTACACCAGGAGTGCACAACTCAAGTGTGTACCTGGGCCCAAGTTAGGAGGGTTGAACACCAAATGATTACCGGGGAATTTAATTTTTTTAATTGCCCCAAATTTTTTGCCATATTTTGAGGGTGAGAGAGCGTGTTGGGGTGCCCATGTACCGCCTGCCTGTGTCTCGTACCCCCAGGGGTACACATACCACGGGTTGAGAAACTATGTCCTAGAGAACAGTAAAAAGGGTGTGGATGGGCCCATCTCTCGCACATCACGTGCTGCCTGCTAAAATAGAGCTGTAACAGTTTTCCCTGTACACGGCATCACGATGATCCAAAAGCTATTTGGAAGAAAGGCAGCACTTGATCCAAGGCACCTTGTTTCAGTCCCAATCTGTTCTACTTCACACCCACAAGCTGGTTTCTACATTTAATGCTCGGGGAAGCAATGTGGAGCAAAGAAAGCAAAGTGAGTTGTATTGGGCCTGGTGCATGAGCATCATCGAACGTATTGTGCAAGAAGCGGAAAGCACCCAGCCTGGTGTTCAGAGCTCAGCATCAATCAGGATAATAATCTTACTTATAAATCAAATAAGCTTGGTCTGGGAAATGGAGGGAAACTAAAGCGATATGCACAGTGTGGATGTGGATTTGCACAATGTGGCAATGTGTGGATTTGCACCTTCTGTACACTGAACTTGGAAGTAACCACATTTAAATATTAAGAACATGAAGATTTCAAAACAGTATGTTAATTGAGACGTGTGGGTTAAAAGGAGAACTAAATGTAAGGATAGTTTCATTTTAAGTATGTTCTCCAACTATAGAGCCGTTTTTCTGCAAACTCAATTGAGAGTCGCGAAGCTTATGCTACCCTCTTCTGTTGGTACAGCTTTGCCAGCAGGGAGTACAAAGAGGTACAATCCCCGATAGATTAGGTTGTACTGACAGAAGCCCATATTGTGGACACCGCTTATGGCAACAAAGCTGGGTTTTTACTTGTTTCGGGGAGTTTTGAGGGTGAATACAGAAGTAGCCATTTACTGGGTCACATGGTAGGTCCATCACACCCCATATCCTGATTGACACAGTGCCAGAAAGCAGGTGCTGGGAGGGAAGGAGCTTGAACACGGCATGTCCAGCACTTTCTGCAGCTTCCAACCTTTGGGGTTTTAGGAAGGGCTGATTTGGAGCCTCCATTCCTATCTACCACATTCACCGTCTACTGTTGAATCGGTCCTGGGAGAAAACCCACTTCCAGAAGGGGTTGGACCTAAGTTACAAACTTGTGGCAGTGAGGTCTGCAAAGTAATTGCGCACCCTGTGAAACGTGTTCATAGGGTTGACCTGGGAAAGGGAGAGAAAGTAAAGCAATATGCAGAGGGCAGTGTGGATTTACACCTTCTGTACAATGATGGTACAATAAGATACACCAATGAAGACAGTTTTGCTAGTAGTATTTGCACTTTGCTACTACTGCAATGATGTTTCTATACTAGTAAAATGCTTCTGAACTGTCTTTATAGATTAGATGGAAAAAAAATAAGAGTGACAATGATTTACATGGTTACAAGTGGCATAAACCACAATTTATTGTGCAAGAGGAGAATGCTAACTGCAACCACGAGGTTATGAAACTCAGTCAGCCAAACACTGCAGCCTGAAGTTAAAATACATGGGTTCAAGTGACTTAGACTAGGATTTACTGGAACATGCTTTTCTTATGCTGCAACTTTTGACTTGCAGCGCAGCTTGGGGTTGGGGGAAAGATTTGTCAGGGCTGAGTGGTTTAGTGCAAGCGGAGACTAAACTGTGCGAGTAGAACAGAAAAGGAAACGTGCACACATGCAGAACAGAAGTTCAGACTTCCTTTGCATAGGAGAAAGGGTGCAGATAGATTTCCAGGCCCGTAAAGGTCTGATGCTCACAAACAGTTTTGAATCAAACCCATAAATAGTAGGTAGTTGGAGGTGGAGGAAAGCTGTCCCTCTTTCACAAATTCTGCGCTTCCTACCATTGATACTGCTCTAAAAGTGGAAGTCTTAGTGGAAACCATTATAACGTTTTAGCTCAGAACAGGGTACAAGCGACACTAATTGAAAGGCTGGTGGCTCCCTGGATCCACTCTGCAAGTGCTCAGACTAGTGGAGCTTCATCAGTAACTAACTGTGGAAAAACCAGGACACATAATCTGGTGCAAGCAAGACCAAAGACAAACTGTAAAATAATAAAGATCCATTTGCTGCAAAATGACCGGTATTTTTATTTTGAATTGAAACAAAAAACAAACTACTAAAAATAAACTTCTGTGGATAGAGCCTGTTCACAGGGAGAGGAAGAGTCTTGCTTAACAGGACTTTGATTGAAAACCAACAAAAGAATCGTATCTTGTATTACTGGTCTGCTTTCAATACCTCTTCTGTGAAGAAACTCAATAGGCATTAAATCTGCCTGCCTCATTGAAACGAACCTTCACTTTGGTCATATTATCTAATGTGTAAAGGAAAATAAACAAGACTATAAAAATACTAAGTCTTGATGGTAGTCCTGTCTACACTGCAAACTGCCCCTCAGAAAGAACCAAGTTTCCTCCACCTATGCTGCCACATTATAGCTGGAGCAGCAGAGCCCTGGTTTCGAGGAGGAGGTGCTCACACCTTCTATAAAGTCAGCAGCTTTAGAGGCAGAAAGAGAAATCCTTAATGACTAGAGTCTTGGAAATCCCGAGGCCCCTATGCCAACACACCGGTTTCCTGGAGGTAAGGCTGAAATAGCTGCAACAGATGAAATAACACTAACGGAAAAAAAATCAGATGATTTGGGTTTTAAAGAGACGGATGGACACTTCCGAGGAGTAGATCACATTAAACTTTGAGGTGGTCAGACTTCTGGTCAAAAGTAGAGTTTTATTTATTTTAATTTTTTTGTTTCAAGTTTACTATTAAGCAATCTGCATCTGGTTTTGCTGGGGGGAATAACGTGCACAACTAGGGAAATCAGATCCCATTGATCATTTAAGGTTCAAAACGGCTAAAAATTCTGTGGAGGACTCTTGGTCTGTGCCATAGCAATTACCCGTGTAACAAAGGATCTAGCTGCACGTAGCATTTGATGAAGTGGGACATACTTCAGAAATAGGTCTAGATCTATCTCGTATAGAACAACTTCAAGCAAAGTAGTAGTCAGCAAAACAAGATACCCATCAAAAAATCCATTGTATTTGTGTTATAGAGCCAAGGACTAATCTGAGATTTGTCCAAGTGGAGATGCTTGCAGGGGGGAAAAAGTGATGTGAATTAAGTAAAGGTGGGAATTGGGAGTGGATCAGCTACTCTATATTTAACGTATGTGGACACACTTCTTCCAAATTGAAAAATATCTTAATTATACTTGGTTGATTTTTTTTTTTTTTTGCAAGTGAATAAATCTGCTGAAAGTGCTTCTCATGCTGAACTGTGCGCTACTAGGAGAACCTCGCAGTTCAGGAGTTATTGGTGGACTACTTAGGAATCTGTGAATTGGCTGTTAATTAGGTATCTGTAAATTGAAATGGAAACACTAGAACTTCATTAAAACCCTGGCTTGTGGACTTTTAGATTATAGGAGGGGTGGGGAAGTGTGAAGCTGATACAAATACCATTAAGCCATTCCTATGGTAATATTCCTTCCTGCAGTTCTGTTGACTTCATTGGAAGCTGCTATTTCACTGAAATCTGCAAATGCAAGCTGAAGAACATTGCATGTTTAAAATGGTAAGTTATGTCGTTTTAATGCAACTCTTGTAACTGTATGAGCACCTAGTAAGAGGTGCATGTGCTGTAGCACGTCCCCTAAACATCTCCGTACCAACCAGCCACTAACGCGGGAACAGTAGGGCCATGAACTAAGCACTGCTCCGCGGAAGCCTAGCCCAGTAAACTTGGGGGTGACTGTCAGCCTGTGCTAGCATAAACCCTTGACATAATGCTTACTTAACTTTTAAATAGTGTTTCAGCACACAAATAGTCGTGAGAACATTTCCCCCGGTGAAATGCTCTTACACCGTGGAATCTCCATCCTTGGACATTTTCAAGAGCAGGTTGGGCAGACACTGGATGGAGATGGTTTAGTCAGGGACAATCCTGCCTTGAGCAGGGGGCTTGAATAGGTTATCTTGTGAGCTCCCCCCAGCCCTACATTCCTATGAACCTATTCCAGTTCATTTAAACCTAAATAATAATGTCCCGGTGGTGGATTGAGTCTTCACAAGCAGATGGAAGCTGCCATGCTCAAAAGTCTTAAAGCTTTTTACACATACTTTATTAATGCCTGATAGTTAAAGGTGCCAACATCTTTCTTTTTAAAGACAAATACTAATGCTATTTAAGAAAAGTCATCATCAGCTTTATGCTGGCTCAAATTCAAGTAAGGGAAGGCTTCTGGAATTAAAAACAAAGAGGTGTGGGATTTTGTTTTAGAAACTTGAAGCAAGGAAATCTGGTTTGTCCAGATGCTGAAAAACACAAAGTGCACATACCGATAGGGTGTGCGGCTGGGAGTGTGGAGAGCCAATTGTGGTTGATCACCATGTTTCCAACCCTGCTTCCACTGAAATCCATTACAGCATTCCCTGTAAATTTAATAGGAGTAGAATGAGACTCGGATCCATCAACCTAACTTCTAAGACCATATAGATCTTAAATAGTGTTTTTATAGGGCTACTTTATGCCATCAGATAGAAGAACTTGTCTCAGGAAATTCTACTGTGCAATTTAGGTCTAAGAAAACATAAAATGGCAACTGGAGTGACTTGTATATCATTATGGATTGTATTAGTGTCACTAGTTTTCTGCCATTAAAATAAATACAATTCCTTATCTAAAAACGTACCTTGGTTTGCCTAGCAAAACTATTGCTCTTGTTTAATATTAAACCTTTAGTTGACTCTTCTGTGCAAACCATCTTTCAGCCATGAACTTGCACTACAGTGACGGTGTTTGTTGTCTGTTCTAGCGGTAATGTTGTAGGTTACCATGTGATTGCTCCATGCAAGCCTTGTCTGCTGTCCTGTAATAATGGGCATTTCTGGATGTTTCACAGCCATGCGGTTTTTGGCATCAACAGACTAGACTCCTCTGGTAAGGAATACTTTGGATTCTGGGAATTCCAGCTTGCATTCTTAGGAATTATAACTAGCACCTTATTTTTTTTATAGAAGTGTTTATTAGGCCTCCTCGACACCCTACATTTATGCTATAATTAATGTTAATTAGCATATTGATCATAATTATGTAATTAACATGTTAATCATGGCATAAATAGCAACAGTACTACATGTGTACCCAATTTAAGGCATCATAAAATGGCAAACCAGCTATAAAAATGCAGAACATGTTTGTGGGTTGTTTGGTGCCTTAAATTGAACGTGTGGCAGGGCTGGGACTGACAATCAGTCCATTGCTAGCCCGTGCCCTGGACCTGCAGGCACCCAGCTTTCAACTTGCTGGCGGAGGGGGAGCCTGAGGTCACGATCCCAGGGTCCCCCTGTACTGGCAAGGACAAAGGGCACAATTGGAGTCGGATCCTCAATCCCAGATCAAGCCTCCTTCCATGCACATGCAGCATGGCAAGAGGTGCCATTGTTGGGACTCATGTCACCTTTTAAAGGAAAGTGTGACCGGGGCTGTAGTATGTGCAATTAAGGCATGAAGACACTAGTGAACTGGCTTTCTAACACACTTGGAGAAGGAATGCTGTACTAGAAAACTCGCACAGCTTTAGCTATTTAAAGCTAAAGTCTTGGCCTCTCTTATTTTGTCACTTTATGCGGATCTTCCCTCGCCTCCTCCCCCACAACCATGAGATTTGTTTTGATAGGAGACTTTGCTCCTACCCCTCTGCTGACTAGAGACAATTTTCAAAGGCATCACTCCACTGTGACCTGCACAAACACAAAGTGGTGTAAACAGCACAGCCACAGGCTGCTATTTATATTGGGGTGTGTGTTGCTCCACTGTGCTATTAGGCAGCCCTCCAGCGAGCACTCATTCTGAGATGAGCCACGTTGTCACTGTGACCCTATGTAACTTCTTTTCATCCCTATAAGCTTCGTATTGGTTGTGACCACAGCTTCTCTTACGATTCAACAACCCCACCCTCCCCTTACCCAGCTACTTACAGCTTGCATGCTACGCATTCAAGAAAGGCTGCCTTGAGTCCTCCCCAAAGTGCTCAGCTTTTCAACAGGCCTATACAAGAGAAAACATATTGTTTAAATCTCTTCAATGTCACCTGTGTCAAATCAATGCAATTAAAAATAATCCAGGCATGAGAGGATTACCAATAACTACATGATTCATACAGGAACTTGTTGCTACAAAATGCAGTTCAAAGGGATATTTCAGAGATGAGTTGCAAAAAAAACAAAAAACAAGTGGAAAATTGTTTAATTTAATAGGTTTTACAAACACCAGGTCCCATCTGTTCGGTAGCAGTGTATTCAGTGGTTGTTCCAACCCAAAACTAGGTCAGAATTCAAATAAGTTATTTACAATCCCTTTTTCCCCAGGTGTGAACTTACTGCTTTGGGGCAACCTGCCAGACTTGGAGGAAGCTACAGATGAAGACATGCCGGGCATCTCCGAGGAGGAGTATATCAGATAAATGTTATCAGCAGCATGCACCACAGCAAAATTCCCCTGTTAACTTGTATTGCAGGTCTCCTCCTCCCGCCTTAGTGAAGACTCAAGCAATGCACTTAATAGGAATACGGTACTAAAGTAGAAGCTGTCTCACGGTTCATTTTAAGCTACCTTAAGACTCCCTTGGTTTTGATTAGGATTTAGTGTTCCAATTGAAGATGCTTCTTTGGCCACATTAGCATGGACATATCTGGAAGACAGCAGGCAGATGGCTGCTATTCCTGATTTTGGATCTATTTTGTACTTATGTTAATAGCTGCAGGTAAGGAAAACAGTGGTTAAGGCTTCCACAAGTGCCACTCCTGCCTCTTGTTCCCCTTCCTAAATATCAGCTCTTTGGTCTCAGTAAAGGCATTTTAAAAACTTTAGTAGATCAAAGCATACTTAATCTGGATGAGCTGTGAGATTAAGCACAGTCTGCAGAGTTTTCTTTGTAGAGACCAGTTCAATGTCCCCTTCTGCCTCCTGCTCCATCTGTAACTAGGAAGGGTGCATCTGCAGTTTCCTAAGGCCACCATCAATGCTGCTGAATGAGGGAGCTTGAAGGCCTGTGCTGAAGCTGAACAGCTAGTTGTTTTGCTCCTCCTTTAAAGGAGGTTGCTTCACCACTTGGGAGAGGCATGTTGAGATGATGGTTCTGCATACAAGTCTATCATATGATGCGGTGCTCAAGTGTAGCGATGTACTTGGCTTCACTAAAACCTAAGCTGCCAAAAGAGACCAGTCAGTTGCTCCCAGAACTGGGAGCATCCCAGGAACTGGTCCATTTTTTCTGACATTGAAATGGAAGTGGAACATGTTCACCATGTCGCTAGGAGAACTATCCTTAGAAACGCAGTGCCTGAACTGCTTACCTGCCCTGTAGAAGCCTCCCCGTTGCTGTAACAAACACTGGAAATGTGGAAAAGGGTTAGCATCCAGACACCAGAATCAGCAATTACCATTGTACATGTCTTCAGTAGTAGACTAAAAGACTGGCAGTAAGCAATACTGAAGTACTCTGCTTGACACGCTTACAGCTGCAGTCAATAACATTTTGATCTGGCTTATCTACCATGGGAATGTAGGTGATCCTTAAGTAGTGGGTGGCATTGAACACCTCAGGAAGGAGGCAGCCAAGCTGGGTCCAAACAGAATTTGCTCTACAAGCACTGTCCTGCTTGTTGCTACCTAGGAACTGCTTCGTTTTGCTTACTGTTTTCAATGTTTTTCTTCCTAAGAAAGGAAGATCTTGAGAATAAATGTGTATTAAGAAGCTGCTTTCTTGAAGAAACTTAGCTGACAGCAGAGATTCTATTTAATGCGAAGAATTGTAAAGTGGCTATTGTGTGTGCGCACACGCATGGTTTTCTACTTATTATGCTTTGCAGGCCAAGCATAGACACAGCAGGCGATAACATTTATTTTTAAAGTAATGTGACTTAGCATAAATACCATCCTCGGCAGGACTTGGCAAGTTGCTGATCCTCAGGTAGGATGAAAAGATGGAGTTTGTAATACACGCTTAGCTCACTTTCGTATAGCTGGAGTCAATTCCCTATATTTCAATCAAGACTAACTCAAAGACTGATCTCGTGTCAAGGTGTTGTCAATAGTATTATTGTCTATATCCTGTTATGCTCTGTACAGATGCACTGAAGGTGATCTTTTACTGTATTTAATGTATCCTAACCTTACTACCTCTAGCATTGGCTAAACCAGGTACCGGGATTTGTCTGTCTTGTTTTGACTGTACATATGCTATGTCTGAGCATTAAATAAGAGTCTTGCGCCCATTCTTCCGACGGATGTGTGAAGTGTGCTTGTGGTAGGTAACCGCAACAGCAAAATGGCGCTCTGTTCCCAATTGAAGCTCCTTTAAATTCCTCTCAACTTAGGTAGGACAGACAAAAGTCAGACGGAGCTGCCCGCTTGCCCCGGGTTCTGCAAAAGGCTTAAATTCTCAAGTGTCTGCTGCCTTCTAGTTTATCAATAGCAAAATGCTCATATATTATGCTCGTTATAGCATATTACTGCCACTTGGCCGTCTTTACCAGTTCATGCCACACGAGGATTCACTGGGTTTTAATAGACAAATGGAGCGCTGCAAAGAGAAGGCAACGTCTAATAAAAACAGAGCTCTGCAACGTCTCTTGTTTAGACAAGACTTTGTTCCCAACTGTTTGTAGAGGTAGGGCAGTCTTCAAGAGACTCTCCATTTTATCTCTGCTCAGGCATTTGTTTCCTGTTTGCTCTTTTAATCTTCTCAACATTTAACTTTCGGAGGTCTGAGCCAGCCTCGCGGTATTGGTAAAGTTGGGTTTAAAGCTTGTTCCCTCCCTTGTACAGAGGAAAAAAAGCTTCCCACAATGAAACAGAATTAGTCTAAGCAGTTGTTGCAATGATAGAGGGGGGGGGAGAATATTCAATACAACAACTTGCCCAAAGCTTATTTAAAAACCAATAATAGTTTCCTGGCCTCTGACCTCTAGCCTCTTTCTGGATCTTACTGCAGTGGATCAAGTGTTTTTCTTTTCTATCAAAACCCTGGAATCTGTAGTAAATCAATTAATTGTTGGTTATTGTAGGGATTTTATGATGGGCATATTGCCGCACAACAAGACAGGTAATCTGTACACTGAAAAGAGAACAACAGAATTCAACCTCCCTCTGGCCTTAAAATCAGTCTAGTGTAAAAAAAATCTGGCAGCCAGGCTGTTTTTCTCCCCTCATCGGGAAGGATTTTACAGTGAAAGCTTTCATGATCTTCGGTGTGCAACCAAAGCAGAGCAGTAAGCTGAAAAACAAGAATCAAGTCCTACAGCCTTTTTCCTCTGCTTATTACAATACACAAGGCAAGTAATTACTAGAGCTCCAATGCTATAGTCAAGCCTGGATTTAGCCAGATGGGAACAACTGCCAGGCAAAGGGGCCTGGTTTTTGCAACTCAAAGCAAAGGGCACTGCATGTCTTCAACTTACTGGCACTAAATGCATAGTTAGATCAATGTGATTGGTCTTACAATAGTAGTAACACTATGAACTACAACAGCCATGTATCCCACAGGCCCCATTCACAGTACTGCACCTGAGACATATTACAAAACAGATTTTGTTGGTTCGGGGTCATAGGTTTGGCTGGAAGGAAATGCACTGAAAGCCTGAATCCCCCTAAAACACTCAAATGAAATGGCTTTCCTTGGAGCCACAGGGCTTTGTGCAGTAACACTACTGTCAGTGGTGATGCATTCCCATCCCTGTAATGCATAATTCAGCATCGATTTGAGCTAGCAGGGTTTGGAAGGGAGACAGTCATAGCAAGACATTGATAAATTGTTTTCCTTTTGCTCTTAAGTAAAACTTGTTAGGAGAGATGCATATTTAAATCTTCATTATTCCCATATAAATTAAATGCCCAATCATAACCTTACATTTGTATCACGCCATTCAGCCCAGACTGCTGTATAGTGGCAGAGTCAGAAATCCTTTTGCCATTGAAATGCAGCCAGGTCCAGGATGCAGGGCAGTTGCCAAGCTGATAGCAGGCTGTAAGGACAGCAGGGTAAACCCATGCTGTAATGAAATTTGGCAGGCAGTCTTCATCCACTTGGACTAGATAGGCCCTTGGTTATTGAAGGAGGTCCAACCTGAAAGCACGCATGCTCGGTGTACAGCCTGGAATGCAGTTTATCTGCTTTGGAGACAGATGACAGACTGAGTCACCCCTGCAGGGTTTAGAGCCTGTGGTGCTAAGTATTTCAGATCTGAGGGCGGGCCACGGTGCCATCCTGCACCCATTGTGCCATGAGATTAGAAGGGCCAAACCTTGCTTTCTCGCCCCCTCAGCCATGCCATGCACAGCAGAGTACATATAAACCCGGTGACCTAAGTATGCAATCGCGTTGTTCTACTGTAACTGTCCCATCTGCACATTTGCTTACTTCTGCAACCTGCTAAGACTTCACCTGCTCCAAAAGTGTCTGTTATTTGCATTAGGGTAGGCGTCTTACAACTAGCTTCATATAACTGGTTTAGCTATTATGCTAGAACACACATGGACCTTAACTGTGTAGAAAGACTGGACAAATGGGAGAAGAAGTGAGCACATCAAGTGAATGCTGCAGGTCAGGTGGATCCCAAAGGACAGATGCAAGAGCACAAGGAGGAGAGTTCTCAGCACCATGCCTGCACCAAGCTCAGTCCACGTTGGGCCATGTCTGCAGCCCGCTTGAAGACAAGGAGGGCAACCTCTTCTCCCAGCAGGCTTCCTTTGCATGGAAACGTGGGCTTCAAGGCAGTAAGCAACCTCTTCCCCACAACCTGCAGTACACTTAGCAAGCAGCACCATACTTAACGCTTGCACTTTGTGCAGCTCGTGTCAGAGCGAACACCAGATCACGGGATCATCCAAAGATGTTTGTAATGAGGAGATACCCACTGTCACGTCTTGACAAAGCAGCTTTGTTTCCATAGCAGCTATTAGCCGGGGGGAGCATCTCGGCTGCTTTCCTATCAACAGCGTCTCTTGTCAGATTTTACACCCAACGCAGACTTCACAAACTGGGCCTGTACTTCCTATTGATTTCTCATTAGAAAGCATGTTTTGTATTTTGGACAGCAGTGGGGCAGGAAAGGGGGGGCGGGGGGTGGGAAAACCTTGGTCGCATCTAAGGTCTTCAAAATCTCTGGTGCTTCACTTTCCACATTGTCTGCTCTTCATCAGACTCCTGACAGCTTGATGTCTCTGGGTAACGTTACACAAGGGAAATTAGTTCAGTATTTCTCACCAACGCCCATCTGTATATGTCAACGCACATAGAAATTTGTGTGCACGTTTGTGAGGCAAACACCGATACGAGATTATAGCGCAGAGGAACGTGAATGATTATTTCCAAATGAAGAGCACTCATTAAAACACCGAATGGCATCTGGAAGCAGCTTCCACGGCATCACAACTCCTTTCTGTGCTAGAGCAGAAACTCAGGAGATAGATCACTCTTAGCACATGTCCTCTGCCAGCACAGGGAACCTATCGTGACTGGAAAGGAAAACGCAGAAATTCAGGGGGGATTTTTCCTAGACCGCTTCAGGAAAAAAAGTCAATGGACTATGTGCTACTGAGTTACTTGCACGCACAAAGTCTCTCTTGAATGAACAATGTGTTAGCGTTGTCTGGTGCTGCATCATTCCAGCCAGGTCTGCGCTTCAGGACCAGACCATTTGGGGCAACAAGGATGCCACAGGCACGGACTGAAATGCATTGCCAGCAGTAGGGTGGAAGAAGCTTATGCAACATCTGCATTCACCTTCCTTGAGCTAATGCCATCAGCAACTCATTCATGAAAAAAGACGGCCACGTTTCGCCAAGGATGAATCTGACACGTTGTCTGTGCCATGTTCACAGACCATCTCGAGGCAGCTTTTTAAACAGGAGCTGGCAAGCGAACAGGCAGGTCACCACAGAGTGGAGTTAAGGCTCGAGCATAACTGAGGAGGAGCATTTGCAACAAGCTCCTTTGAAAGCCAAGTCCTGGTCTTGCTTACAGGGGTGCGTATACACTGCATTATCCAAATGAAAACACAGCGTGGAGCGAGAGATCCAGAAATGCACAAAACCACCTCAAAAAACACCTCAAAAATAAAAATAAGGACTCGCCAGGAACTGGAAGGTCACAGTGGGCTAGTAGGGTGGCAAAAACCAGCAACATATGCAGTCTCATTCACCTCCCACTTACCACTGTGGATTCAAATACTTGATTTGCTCTTGCTTTTTACCCTTACGGACATGGGCATGAAAAAGAGATGGGGGTGAAGAACAAACAAGCTGTTCCAGGGGCTGTCTCCAATTTTTGGAGAGCAAACAAGTTGCCTATAGACACAACAGGCTTTATACAGGACAAGGCTGCAGTAGCAGCCTGACAGGGAGGCTGGGGGAAGGGAGCATGTGCAATCCCAGCATTGTTTAGATAGAGATGCAGATCAGAGGACATCAGGTCATCCGCAGGAGCTGATAATGGCACAGATTACCGCCCATTCTGATCTGGCATCAACTCAGTCATTAACAAACCCCGAAATGCTCGGCTTTTTCCTACAGCACAGGCTGAAAGGTGAATTGCACCTCTGTGCAGAGCTGGAACAATGCCTATGAAGCACTGAACACAGCGTTTCAGCAAGGCTGACGGGGTGCACGGGGCTTGGGTTGAACTTTTGCAAAGAGGCAAATATCACCCTAAAAACAGCAGCATGGCAGCAACCCGATTTCTGTCTGTATGATACTAGTTTTGTTTGGATGCAATTTCTGTTTCTCTCAGCTGCTAGAGAAATGCAAGATAGACAGAAAACAGAATGAGTCTGCTTTATCTTCCAATCACCGAATGGAATTAAAATGGGAACTGCATCCGATACCAGCTACCATCAGAAACAGCTTACTTAATTTGATGGACTCTCATTCCGATCTGATTTGAATATGCCAGAAGCAATGTATGACATCAAACAGCTCTTTGCCCGTCATTCATGGCTGAGGAAAGATCCCTCTCTGAAATTGGATAGCACTTGCTGGGGGCCAATTCAAGATCAAAGTTAGGCACCATCAGCTAGAGAACAGGGAGAATAACCGGACAGTGAATCACTGGTCAGATCTGGAGTGACATTTTCCCGGGAACAGTGGGGGAGCAATGTCACCATTCAAGGAAGGAGATGACACCCCTAATTGCTGGGAGAGATTCACTGCAATGGTCATGTCATGCAACATTGCACTGGCCTGGCTTCAAAACAGGTATTTGTCCCAGGAGGCAACTGCATGGTCTGACCAGTACCTTGTTCTTGCCAAGCGGTTTCATGTTCCTTTCCCTCATTCCTCCCAGCATGAACAGGCTTGGAAGGGAGTTTGCCAACTGCAAGATGGGCCTTCAGCGGAGAGGGCTAACAAAGGAGGTGGGAGGGGAAGTGTAAATATTTCATAGGGTTAGACTGTTATATCCGTCAAGAAGCCCGCAGGGCCTGCGCACACCTTAAAGAACTGGCCCCAGGTGCTGAGCCAGACTGGCACCTGCTCACAGAGGGGAGGGCAGATGCCACAAGTCAACAGCACTCATCCTCTTGCTGGAGTGGGGAACGGCTCCTTTGCAGCAAGCAAAGTCTGGGCATGCCAGCCTGAGCAGCGTGTAACATCTGCTCCGTTCTCGAGATCCAACCACCGCCTGACCCGAGCCAAATGCTGCTCCATTCAGCTCAGCCGAGTCCTCCAGCCTTGGCCAACGCGTCAAGAGACAGCTCTCTCCACCCCCGTAGTGTGCCAAGCTGGGAAGCACAAGATGTCTGCCACAGACCCCTTGCTGAGCCCCTGGGGGCAGTCTGCTCTGGCCCTGAAGCAAGAGATTTGGGTATCCTTATTGCACTGGTTCACATGAAAGAAAATAGTCTCTTTCTGCTGAGGCTCAATGAGCCCAAGGTCCTGCTGA